ACCATTGAACGCGAGTCCGAGAAAATAGACAGAACGCACGCGTCCAAAATTGACTGTTAAATAAATTTTGCGGATTAAATGACGATTGAAGTCTCAACAATTGAGGGTTCACAACGGAATTTGATGGCAATTACGATTGAGATTACGGTAGCATTAAAATGAAAACTGAATTTTTCGAAAATACGTAAACCCACGATGATCGTAAAATTTGTGGATTCAATTAGAGCGTCACATTGACCGATAAAAAATCCGCAATGAAATCTTTTTATCGTCCAATATTCAAATGAAACGAAAAATAAAAATGAATATAAAAAGGGGTGAATGGAGCGAGGCGATGCAACCGACAATTTGAAGACACGCAGATAAATTTTCCCTGGGATTGCATTGATTCAGCTCGGGGTATGTTGAATGGACATTGTCGCATTTCATTGGTTCACACTGGTATGAATTTTCCCCGATCCCCTTCCACCGAAAAATCGGTATAAACAGGGACAAAATGGGGATAGAAGGGGGAGTTGAATTGGAAAATAGTGAGAACACCGTGACTGATTCTGAAGGGGTTGGAACAGTTTGACAGAGAATCGGTAAACGCCTGTCTCGATTGAGGACCAGAGGGAAACAATGCCAGTGGATAATAGCAGCAATTAACCGATCACTCGTCGAGTACCCGAGCTATTCGTTAAAAATGCCAGGAAGGGTTGAAATACCGTGCCCTAATGGAATGGAAAAAAAAAACAATAAAAATCCAACTGACACGGGAAAATAGCAAAAACCACCGATGCCCGACCGAAATATTTTATCTGGGTGAAAAATATTCCCCCTATTTCGCTGATTCGGTTGATGAAATTTTGAAAATAGCCAGTGAGTCGTCTTCAATTCGATAGTGAATCCACCAGGAAATAACGATTGGCCTGCGATTGTCAGAGCGTCATAAGAAAAATGATCAAGAAACTCACCCTATTCTCCAAGGCGAGATAATTCAATTTACGATCTTCAAGATACCTGTCTGAGAAAGTCACTGTGACAGCCTTTATACGCCAAATGCACCAATTTGAGAGTCAGCTATTTCATCCAAGTGCCACATAAAATGGAGTTGGATCTCGGTAGAAAAAGGGGAAGGCCGGACAGGTATCGGGATAAAAGAAGATATCTGTATAGAATTGAAACTCCTGGGATATATGTCTCGGTTATCCCGAAGAGAATGAAGAGATCGGTATAGCAAGCGACTCGCGATAGTCGACATCAGTGGTTTGTTTTTTTTTTCTTTTTTATTCTCTCCAACAGTATAAGGAAGTGTTGGAGGAGGCAAGGAACCACACGGAAGCCTCAATAATGGAAAAGTTCGCTTGAGTTAAAAATCTTGTTAGCCACCCACTGCTCTCCCTCTCCGATATCCTCTGATTCAGAATCCTGTACTTATTTTTGGTCCAATGGTCTCTGGGTCTCTAATGCCGAAATTCAAGTTGGAAAGAGACTTGAAAAAACTTCCACTTCAACAAGAATTCATTGCAATCCGAATTTTCTCATTAAATTTACGGATATCATTGCCCAGTTTCCAATGATTCTTCATTCATTTCACACCACCACCTCTCAAGCTCTGGATAATTACGATTTGCTGGATGCTGCTGTTGCTATATGGTCAGCTCGTTACGACGATCTATTCCCGGTTAAGCGGCTTCGCAAGCGGTTGTTACTGGGATTGGTCACAACTCTCTCACCAAATGTACGATGGTTTATGCATTCCATCGATCCAGGTCCTTCTGGAAATCCCAGTGACCATCGCAAATGTAAATCCCAGTAGTAATAACAGTGGTAATACCCCGAGTAAAACAGAAAAATATTACATGGAGATATCTCCAAAGACTCATTCAGAAAACGATAAAAAGTTGATGTGACAGTTCTACGACTGATGGACATGACATTTGGCGAGAATTGAGGGGTTGGTTTTGGGGAAAAAAATTGCCAAATCACAAAAAAGAAGAGTTGAAATAATGGGTAGCATGTGTCGCAGCTTACGAGCTTTTCCCGCTGGATATTTTACTTATGTATAAGTTCATCACAGCAACCGCTGTTGCTCCACTCGCTACCAACACCTGCGCCTCCTCTATATTCTGTCCTTGCATCCACCATTTTCCTCTTCTTCACTCCTATTTCCAAAAGGATAGTTACCTAAAACCAGTGAGCCCCACACCATCCTTAGCTTTTCAAGAATTTATGATCGAGACAAGCCCGGCCAGATGGGGTGTGGACCCCTGGCCAGACTCGATCTAGCCGACTGTCGATAGCGATACCAGAAATTTTACCCCAAACTTTGTCGTTATTTCACGTGACTTTTACCAGAACGAATATTCGATATTCAACGTCGAGTCAAAGATACTTGGAGATGTCAAAGATTAACGCGACAACCTAAGAATTTTCCTGAAGAATTGATAAATTCGGAGCGAGAAATTATTATCAGCCCGCAAATTAAATTATTCAACCGAAAAGGAAAAAAGCGGGTGCTTGGCCGAGCCTCCTTGACAGGAGACATTAGGCCGTTACTTTAAATGTCCTACAGGGTTGCCTGTGGGTGGAAAGGTGTTGACTTGAAAAATTCTCATGAAAAAATCGTTAAAAAAATAGGAAACAAAGTGAAAAATCTTGACTTTACACATTTTTCGATATTTAATTCAAAGGCTGCACGGCAGGTAGATAAAATAGTGGAAACATTGCATTATTAATTGAGGTGGAGAGCTCCCCCCCCCAACCCCCACGTGAGCTGATGTTAAAGTCCGAATAGAGAGAAACGAGAGGTTAGTAAAAACAAGAGAGAGATTAATCGAAGAATTAAGGGCGCAGTCGGTGGATCAGTACCACGAGCTCTTAAAAGCTCCGTCTAAAAAATTAACCACCCAGCCGTCCATCCACTAGCAAGATTATTGCATTTTTAAGCCTGTCCCAAGGATAAAACCATTCCACAGCCACCGGGCCACTACCCGCTCACCGATTTAGTCGAGATAATGATGTTGAAGACTCAGTTTTGCCTCATTTATTCAAAACTTACATCAAGCAACGAAGAAAATTACCATTACATTGAATTACTTTGAAGTAGCTGATTATTCCGAATCAATTCCCTCTGATGATGAGGAAAAGGGGCTTTGAAATACGAAAACAAGTATAAAGACTAATTCGACTCCTCCACTTGCTGACTTCCAAGCCATACTTTTTCTCCTCAAGCCAGCCCTTCAACTAGCTGAATATCGTGAAAGTTCCGTTAAATCATTGAAAACCCCGAGCATTAATGGCAAATAGACCGAGAGACGTAACCCGTGTACAATAAAATCGATACAGCACATCGTCACACCCTAGAGCAATCATCAACTCCAAACAAGAGGAATTCCCCTAAATGCACGTGAAAACGTGAACCATTGTGGAATGAAAATCTCGTCAATGAATCAACCAATCTAATCTCAGTGGTTTACAAGATGCAGATGGAAGAGGTTAAACTTCCTTGGCATATAAATCTTGTCGAGGTGATGGGTATGCAGCAAGTGTCTGTGGCAGTGGAGGTTGTACGCCTCGGGGAATCAAGTGTAAGAGAGAAAACAGTCGGTGAGATGAACTTGTTTGGTGGGTTTAGTGAGAATAGAGTGTTTGACACCAAGCCACCATCACCAAGACACTAGACGACAATCCATATACCATAAGGTAGCAAACCCGAAAACCCACACGGCAGCTGTCTGGTTCATCGTAATACCCTAATAATTGCAACTAAAGGATGGGGTTTTGGTAAGGTAGATGGTGAGACTGTTGGTACCTAGACTCCATACACTGAGTGTAACTTTCACCGTAATTAGCAGTCTTGTGGATCCGTTGGGTCGATAGAGACACCCTTTACCCCTCAACTTGGTCCTTTCGCTCTAATTAATAGTGATACGCTGAGATACCCCGTGTATATTCGCCGAATAGATAGTGAGAATGTGATGAAGAGAGACAGGGAGTAAGAGGAGGGTTTGAAGAGTGAAGTGGTTGACTATACAGTTTGTTACTAAGTACAGTAACTATATAACCAACGGTTACGATAGTCTACATGCACCTGGCCAAGGACTGTTCAACATACCGATACACCACTGTAACTTGTATCAAGTTATAATACCATCAGATATTAAACTATGTAATCTTCGACGAACAGACTCATTTAATGACACCAATTTAATGGATAATTGAATTTCAAGGTGCCACCTATTACCTCCTCCCCCCCCAGATGACAATAATCACCGAAATTTCACCCAAACTTTGAGAATAAAGCTGCGTCAATTACTGAATTTCAATACCACGGGGTATTCCATTTTCTCATTCACCCAGTTGTCTTATACCTAAGAACCCAGGCAAGACTACTCAGAGACTTTCTTTCCAGTATCCTTGTCATGCAAAGCTACCAACTTCTCTCTTCTCCCTCCACGTCCTTAATTCACTTGGCATTGTTTGAGGTTGGGTAGTTGTATAGGAGAGAAGAGTTGCCAGAGTACATACGTACATCCTACCCGAGCTCAACCTAGAGGACTTGGCTCTATGTGCAGTTGCACACATCTACTTCTCAAACTTACTCACCCCACCCCTCTACGTTTCACCCTATATTCGGTCTTGCAAGCTCCTCTTGCCCAGAAAGCTCATGAATTTCAGACATGTCTGAGCCCTCAGTAGCTCTCAGTCTGTCTCTCTCATTTTCCACCATTACAGCCTTTGCTTTTCAACTTTCTCTTTTGGCCAACGTTAACTCCACCTCCCATTCCCATCCTGAATAGCATAACTCGGAAAAGCTCTACCATATGTATAACACCAGAGTCTCGTATTCCCGTGGGGTTACATCGCGCCTTTATGCATTTCGATTGAATTTCGAAACAACTATTTCCACGCTGTCTAATTGTTCACCGGATATATATCATGCATACAACAGTGGTCACTCACCGGTGAAGAACTCAGCAGAGGTGTGGTTCCATTACGTCAGGTTGTATTCAGCTGAAACTGCGCAGACCATTCAGCATCAATCAGGCGTGAATTTGTTTGATGTCATTGAGGGGACGAGATTTAGTGATGGATCAGATGATGTGCTGCAGTTGTATTGCAGTTGTGTTGCAGTTGTGTTGCAGTTGTGTTGCTGTCGTGGTGAGAAGTGAAGGAGAATCGCGTTGTGGTCTGCAACAAAAATAATTGCAAAGATTTTAATAAAGTGGGATAAAAAGTGGGAGAAAAATCTGGTCAAGTGCATCGTAGTACATTGATAGAGTGATTCTAGTGAGTGCGGTGAAGCGTGTGCTTGTTCAGATATCCAGTGAAATGCCGGAAGATCCGAGGGTCAGAAGTTGGAGGTACAACGAGATGATGCAGTTTGGTGTGGACTCTGCTTTTCACCCTGGAATTTCCACATCGGTAAATTCAGGGAAATTTCAAGGTACGTGCATCACTCCGGATACAGTAGTCGTCGCCTTTGGTGATGCAGAGATCACTCGTCAGCAAACCCAACAGTTTGTTCACCAGTCGTCGTTTATTATCGTCAATCCATCGAGGTATTGTTTCACTGAGTTTTAAGATTTTATTCAATATAGAAAATATCAATTAAACTGGATAAACCACTTTTCAATTTGTTTGCGGTTGGAAAATTGCCGGATACAGTTGAGAACTGTTATTCCATATTGACGATAGATATCGATACGCTATCGAACACTAAATTACACATGAGACGAAGCGATTGTTCCATTTCCCCCTGAAACCATTCAGTCTCGTACACCATCCGCACGAACCGTCCAATCCTACTTTCAATTAGGCTTTAATTATTTCAGAACTAATTTCCCGGTCTACGGGATCGAGTTTGATATTCAATCTCCCATTCCTCGAGTCCACCCCAAAATATCTGTAGGGGCGGAGAGGTGGGGAATGGCCAGGGTATATCCAGAGTTATTGAACAAACGTGGATACAATTTATCCGTTTGAAAAGTATTTTTCACACCGCGTATTTGGTACGTTCCACTGGTGTCTACCCAGAGCTGAAAAGATGTTCACAGATGTTTATACCGAGTTTTCGGTTGAAACACTGGTGTCTTACGAGTTACGTGATAGTAAGATACAGCATCACACACAACCAGCAGTAAAAACGAAGATCCATTCACACTCACAAGTAGAGATGGTGTATCTGACCTTAAGGCAACACCATCAAATTGAGTCGCTCGATCTGTCTCCACTCGGCTTGTGTACTATCTCAGCAATGCCTTTGCGGTTGCACAATTCCAAAACCACCGATCCTCTCCACCCCAGCACCGATGATAAATATTTAACGAGTATCCGGCGGGACCCGAGGAGCATTCTGGGCAAGACTATTTCCGCAATGCAGCCACAGAGCCCAATCTTCCCGCATTGTTTTCTTATTCCTCATTGTTCTTGATCTGATTGCAGAATAATTGTTGATAATGGTAGAATGAATTAACACCAAGCAGACAGATCAATCTTCCAATCCTGTGCCTCGATATCTAGAAACTCCAGGGATCTGTTGCTATTCGGGGGATTTTGATATTCCGTGGCTTGTAAATATTTAATGTTGACCCGAGAAAACATGGGGTGAAAACCAATGGCAGTTGGATGGAATGCCTCCAAGTTAACCGAGGCCAGCTGACCCCAACCAATTTCCAGATAATTTTTCTTTCACCGACCTCCACTCGCCATTCTCTTTAACTCTCAAGTGCACACCTCTATCAATTCATTTTCGGTCAGATGAAGGGAGAGCCCTCGACTAGAGGATCGTGTCGTATACAGCTGGGGGTGGGTGGCTTTCTCAATGGATTTACTCGGCAATGTGTGGACCATGGGTCCTCAGAACTCCAAAGGAATCCATTGGGGGTACCTGAAGAGTCTTTTGATGGTGAGGTCACGACCCAGTTGGCTTTCCTTTCGGTAAATTTATTGGCGTTTTGATGAAAGCAACCGTCGAGTTATTCCACCCCTTGGACTTGCTCGATCATAAATTTTCCACGATGCTTTTTTCACAAAATCCATCGCTGGTTGCTACGGGCGATTCTTTTTTTTTCTTACGTTGCACTCGTGAAACCCTTTTCAATTTTTTAGTGATCGCGTGTGAAGGTTTTTCCAATTTATTTAGAGAAATGGGAGGATTTCAATTTTACAACGGATTAAACGGATAGCTGGCTCGAGTTCCACGATTCCTTTTTCAAAGAAGATTCCGTCCAAAAAATTTGAAATCACCCATTAATTGGCGAAAATATTGAATTTAAAATAAATGAATAAATCATTGCTATAATATTTCTGTTGCCGTGACCAAACGTCTCAAGAACTCCATAATTGTTCAGTGGATGGAGATTTTCGTCTAAAAGACAGCAGTACAAGACGAAGGTACACATCGTGAAGTCGACGAGACTTCGCGCCCGACTGCGGATACCATTTTCCACCGGAAAATTCACTGCATTTACATAATTGTGCGTACAAATTCCGAACTACCGGTTTTCCCAGGCGCTGGGATTTCGCTTTGGTGGTTTATGTCGTGAATAGACGAAGGGTGAGTTTCAAATCCCAGCACAGTAGCATACAACGGGCCAAACTCCCACATTCCAAACCCGAATCCACTATCTGTTATTCATTTTCTCTCTTCATACCAACTTTGCCATCTATCCTCCATCTCATTCATCCTATTCCTCCACAATTTGCTCCTCCAACTTGTACAGAGGGGCCCGCCAGATCGAAATGATGAATTATTTATACGAAAACGTAACGCTTTAAATATCCTAGGGCAATGCATCAGTGGAAAATTTACACGTGTGGACAAAAAGCCGAGTTATGAATTATCCATCATCGAATGCATGATGAACTCAATTAGATTCACAGTCCACATCTTACATATTTCAATTGTCTGGCATTTTCATTCTCACAATTTTTCGAGGCTAGACAAATTAATCATTTAAAAATGACACTTTCAATTGAAAAATGTCCGGAGTTTAAAGAAATTTCAAATATCAGGCGAAAGTATCGCCCCTGCAAAGCGACACATCATGCTCACCAGCTAAAACATTTTCTCCAGGTGTCTGTCACTAGCTGTATTTCTCCAGGAAGTCTCCAGAGTACCCTGGAGACCGAACCACTTCCTAGATCCCCACGTCCCCGACAACTTCATTCTCACCTCATTTATTATTAACACATCATTCGGTCGTGAGCCCCGGCTGCCGTATGCCCTCAATATCGTAACACTTACGCGTCTAACCCCATAAAATATTCATCCTCATAGCGCATCAAGGTGGAGGTGAAATTTCAGATTAAGTCAGACCCGTTATCCCCCAAGTATTTTTAAAAACTTTGCCCACCACTTTTCCGCATTGTCACTGTACAATACCACGGGAGAAAGTGCCAAAAGGGACTGTGCGATAGTGGCTAAAGTTTCAGACTGTTTTTTTCATCTCTCTCTGCACTTGGACTCTTGATAGGTGCCTCGGGCTCTCGGGGATGTGACCCAACAGTGCACCCAGATGCCTCGTTTTGACAAAAAACTTAGCTCATGCACACCCATGAAAAGAGTTTGAGCGAAACAACTCCAGATGGTTCTCGATGTTTTACCCCCCATCTCCAGTTTCATTTTCAGATTGACGATCTCCTGGGAATTCAATTCAACTTATTCCACCCGGGACCCAGTGAAATTGAAGAGCATTGATAAATTTCCAATTTAATCGTCTCACGTCTCATAAAATATTCAATACGAAATAATGCATAACTGGATTATTCAAACGTTATCACTCGGATTATTTCTCGCGTATGCGACTCTGTATGCGGACTGTGAAATGCGAGATGTCAGTCGTCAGTCGTAATCATACAAACATGAGATAGCGTACATCTCCACAGGTGTTGGAAAAACAGTATACCGTGGAAATCTAAATGCTAAAAAAGGCCGAAGAACCCGGAGATATCTTGTGAACTTTCGTATTACCATTTTGAGTGGATTCTGTGCTTCACCCCTTGATATTCCCTTGCCACTTTTTTTTTTCTCATCTTTTTATCCACCCGCCAATTGCGTTACCGCAATGAATATCTGACGATTGTCGACCAAAATGCCGGATTCAACGATAAAGAAATGGAAAGAAAAAAAGAAAATAATAAAAGAAATATCCCATTGAAGTTTGAGGTGGATTCACTGTAGTAGTTCTCAGGTCGATCTTCACAGCGATTCACCAGTGGTTTTTCCCTCTCTTATACATCTCGGTCTCGTGAACGACGAAAGTTGAATTAAAACTCGTCCCTCCAGCGTTACCGTACCGAGAGTTTTCCTTTTTACCGTAGACCAAACTCCTCATCCTTATCCGCACCTTAACTCTCCTTTTATTCTACTCTATTCTCGAAACCCATGGCTATTTGCATGAGTAAACTCAAACTTTTGATTTTCTCGTTTTATGCTAATGCGATCCACTCGGTGGAGCCAACAGCCTAGTCTGCCGTCACAGTATCAGTGACAATAACTGAAATTTGCGGTTGAAATTCAATTATTTCTCGTTACCATTTGACTCTCATTATCATTTGATGAGAAGACCCACAAAAATGGCTCATCCGAATCAATTATGATTCTTTATTTCAATCAAATAAAGTATCTATTCAAGTGAATACTTTTCCGGATTCAACAAATCCTTTCAGCAGTCTGAGAATATATATTTCATTGAAGTAAATCATTTTTCAAAGGGCATTCAGTGTATCTTTAAGTAGATTTGCATTGCCCTGTGCTGGAAAATCCGACGAGAGGTACCTCAATAAATGTAGCGATGCACATAATTCCTGAATACGATCGATTACATTTCCTTGGAGTCGTATAAATACCACAAAATATTGTTCCACATCCGCTCAAGGACTATAAGAATGAAAATCCCTAGTAACTCAGCTATCACGAAAGATATAACATCCTCAATAAATACACGTCTGTGGTATTTCTTTCACGAGATTCAAAGATTCAACATGAGAATCCAACTGGTATCACCGACAATATGTATTCCAGTGGCGCCCAGAAATATCCATAAATACACATTTTTATGATGAACACGCGGAAACGATCTATGGATATAAAAATTTGTAGTGGAAAAATCTCAGTTCAGTATTCCATGAAACTATACACTTGGATTTTCGAACATGCGGTGTAGAAAGCGGAGGTCACGTTTTCCGACAGGTATAAACGCGCGTGAGCAAACGTAAGTGGAATGTAAGGAGTGAACACAGCCTTTCTTGACTTTGCAAGTTTTACACCAGCTTCCAGGGCAACGGCGAATTATCATTCTCTATTTATAAACTTTCTTTGCAATGAGAGGAATAATTGCACCAGTGATAATCCGAGAATAAAGACTGTCATTTTTCCAATGACTCATCTCAATGATAATTATCATTCAGAGGTTTTTCACACATCACGGGAATTGTTATCCCCGGGTGAGAGTTTGAGAAAGTCGATGAGCATTTGCGTAGGATTTTATTCAGCATGGAAATTTTCCAGCCATTTAGGATGACGAGGAGTGGCTTTTAAAGAGCAGAAATATGAGGAACGAATGTTTCTGATTGTGGAGGAATAGATGGACCGGAAATTGTAATTGACACGAGGAAGATGTGTCTGGATTCTTTCGAATAATTCTCAATGATTTAGTTCAATTAATGTTGAACCCACCATTCAGGTTGCCCTCCACCTCCAGAAGGCAACAAATCAAAAACATCTGGTCATAAAATCCCCTCACTCCTCCACCAACCGTGAAACGAATAGCACGTCTCTGTGATTTAAGGAGAAGGGTCAGTTGGATTAAAGGGTAGCTCGATGGTAGGTGGATCGGAATCCCAAAATGCACTCACCATCCGACAACATTCATTCTCCACATTTTTTTTTACTCTCCATCCTACGTGTTTGCTTTCCGAAATCGATTGGATCCTCGATAGCACTCAAGTAGGATTTTTACAAAGTTCTGTATAATCTCGAATGGATTCAGTCGATGGAAAATGTCTCACTGGAAATGCAAGGTCTCCAGGAGATCATCTCCTGGAGGAAATACGACACCTGTCTCTTTGAATTATCACCCCTGGCGATGCAAGAAGTGTATTAAAATCCCCTTAACCGATCATAAATAACGACCTCACTTCTTTTTTCAGACAGCCAGGGCTCAAGCGATGTGGTACATGAGTTACATTTTTTTTTTCCCACCAACTCAGAAAAATTCTCTCTCGTTCTTAAAATTTAGAATAAGTCGACCAAACCTGACGATTAATTCGCTCAAACAATACGCACACTGAATTAACTAATGGAGTTATTACTTTCAGATAATATTTTCACTTACGTTTAGATGATAATGATGAACAGGTGTTGCAGTGATGAACAGGTACCAGCAAACGGTGAGATATCAACGGTAGGTAACTTGTCAATTATCCTGCGGGATTTCTACACGTCCAGGAACATCTCGATCAATTCCTCCACCATATTCCATTTTCCCCTCACTGTGTGCACAGATGTCGACATACTGTCTATCCGGTAAAATCCAGTACCACAAGTGCGCAGGAGAGACTGCGCACTCTGATTGACCGTGTAGAATTTCTCTTACATCCAATAGTAATCCTCGGTGCCTTCGACAAGACCGAGTCAGTACTCATTGTGTCTCTCGTTGGCAATTTCCTTTATACCCTGAAATAAATCGTACTTTTTCAATAATACCACCGTCATTTAATGAGTCATTGAAACAATTGAATCGGTTAAAACGAAGATCGTGTGATATTATAAGGTATCCGTCGTAGAACGGAATTTTAGAGAAAGGAAATAGATTGAAACGCACCTGGTGATTTAACGCTGAGGGAGCATTAAATTATAAAGCTGCAACTGTTCTTCGGCCCTGCGGGTCCTCGACGATCCACCAATAATTATCCATCAGCCAAATTTACCAAACCAACGAGGTAAGCTGTAACACTGAATTCAATATTTTTTTTTATATAAAAAAAGGGATGATGAATCATTTGATGAGTGAGTTTGACAGTTGCGCGAACTGTCATCGAGTGAACGGATGTTATTAAATGATAATTAATTCAGGGCCAAGCTAGTGTTAGTTCGTGTGGTAACGCAATTGTCTTTTCCGATATTTCCTCGAGAATTTGATGCATTAAAGAATTTTTTTATGGAAAAAAAAATGAAAAGATTCGATCGCTTCTCAGAACAGTTGTCTAGGGTTAACCTCGATTCCACTGGAGGGTTTAACGGGTAAAAATCAATACACTAACCCAACCCTAGACGTACATTTGCGCGTTGTCGTCATTGACGTGTTTTTGTTACATACGTTATAGTCGCAGGGTACATTTACAGATATTATCCTAGAGAGGTATTGTTCGATTACTGCACAGTTGCTGAGCTCGTGCTTGGACTATAACCAAAGTAAAAGAGGAAGTACACGATTTCCCGCGTCCGGAGAAATCGATAGTGAAGTAACCCAACGCGCAAGAGACCTTTCTGTGTTGTCACCAGGGCCACCAAATAATTGACATTCATTTGTATCGTCAATATTGAATTACCGTGTCACGTCAATATTTTCTTTTGAGAATTTAATTCAGACTTGAGGTGAAATGTTTTTGTATCAATCGAGTTGAGTTAATACTCGTCTCTGGATGCCTATCGATCCTCGAGTCACATCGATTCACGTTTATATTGAGTCACTGTTCAGCTGGAGCTATTTTATTTCAAGGATATTGCCTTTCGGTTAATTTCAGGGAGAAAATCACTGAACTTGGATCACTTAGAAATTTACGATTCACCGTATCGAGATCGGAGAATGTTCTCGATAAGAATAATGTGTTAATCATGGAAGACCTTCGAATGTAATTGTACTAGAGACCGCATATAATTTTGATAGTAATGCCAGTAGCGAAATGGTAAAATAACTCGAGTCTAGACAAATCGTACCTAAAATTTTTGGAGATATCTCCGAATCTAAAGGGGATACCACGATTTTGGTAATAACCTTTTCTGTAGAGCAAATTGTCGTGTGTGAAAAATGTTATTAGAAAAATTTCGGTATGTCGTTTAGATTCCGAGTTATTCATTAAAATCTGATTAGTTTGAAAACTTTCATTGGTTAAAGCACTTCGCGACTGGTATGATTAATCGTACGTACACAGTGGAATCGTGCATGGCTTGCAAAATTTTCGGCATGATGACGTGTGCATGATAATATACATTCAACGTAGCTAGATGAGAATATACCCGAGTGCAACCGAGAATATGCAATCTGCATGTTTGAACAAGTACGAAGGGTGTGAGGTTGAAAGGATTCCACTGAGAATTTCCTCGAAAATTCCCAAAAAAAAACAAAGATAAAAGTTGTCTTACCTGACACTGAGACTCTTTTTCACACGTCCCCAGGGGCTGGCACCTGTGGGTATCCCAGCAAAAGGTATCTGAAAAAAAAAGCAAAGGCAAACCATTAGTCTCATTGAAGTCTCATTGAAGACTCATTTAAGCCTCATTTCAGCCTCTTTTCAGCCTCACTCCCTCCCTAAACATATCAACATTATTTTATTACGTTTTTTTTTCATGTCTTTTATGTTTCCACTATTCATTTTGGCTTGACGTATTCGGCTTAACGGTCACACCCGCACCAGTTGTGCGCACACAGCATCAAAACCAATATCTTCGCACTCAGTTTGCGTCAACCTAGGGAGAAAAGAGAGTGAGAGATTTAACAACTTGGTGTAATCGACCCTCAACCATCGTCAAACCAACAGCCTCGGCACTCTGTCACAAGTCGCAACTCAAGATAGAGAATTTTATAAAAAGTTAGGGTACAACCCATCACCACAAACGCACGATTAAAAAGATAAAGTGCCGCAATGCCGGCTGGTATCGGCACTTCATACAGATCACTGGGTGATCTCGGTGAGGATGTTTACAAGAGTACAACAATCGTTGAACAGACCCAGACGACATCACAGAGTGTTCTGGAGAGTGTAAAGAAGGCATTTAGCTTTGCATCCCCAAAAGTAGAGAGCAGAAAAAAAGATCCACTGATTGATGACAGAAGAGAGACAATATCCATCGTAACAAGGTAACGTTAATGCAAGCTTTGATAAATCATTTGGATTATCAATCACAAATGACGAGTTACTAGGTGAATCCCTGATTGCTTTTTGTGATATGGAACAATTGGGGCGATGTAACTATTTTTATAATTTGTAAATCGCGTGACACTATCCAGCACAATCGATCGGCTTTTCAAATCGTTTGTGGGGTGCGATCGTAGATAAGGGGTCAAGCTTGGACTTCTGAGGACCGGAAGCTGCTACTGCGGCTATCGATCGTGGCTCTTCTATATTTATGTATAAAAACCCGGTCATCAGGTAAAGTGCGTGCTAAAGTATCAAATACATCTGCTTTCCTGCACATATCGTAGCACATGCATGAATATTTATCTCTTTATAATGTCTTGGCTTGAATGCTCTAATTCGTCGAACCGTAAGAAACGATAAAAACCTAGATAGAGTTGTTTGATATAATATCATCGTAGAATTTGATTTTCTCGGGGAGGCCTCAATGGAACCGGGGAGGAATGCCGTTTGTCAGCCGATAGTATTATTATTTGCCGCCATTTTGTTTTAGGGAAAGAACCAAGATGCCGACTGCAGCAACGACTGCTGAGGAATCAGCACTGCTCGGGTGAGTATTTTATTTCCAGGGTTAATGATTTTTTAATATATTTAAAATTATATTAAGAACGAGAGAGAATAATAGAGAAGATAAACTGCCAGAGATAAACGTACGAATGCCTATTTTCTTATGCTAGAGAATGATCATTCAATAGAATAGTTACTTGAACCGTAGTTAGACGTTGAGTCATCATTATTGTGCTCAGAAAAGTGATTTATTTCAATCAATTATTGTTAATGATTTTACTGGTTCTTTATCATGTCATTGAGATAATGGAAATTTGAGGAAAAATATTTTTTGATTGAAATGATATATTTTTCTGGACGCAGTCGTTGAATATATTACGGAGGATGAGCTATTATCATCACCGAGCACTATTACGTAGACTTGATCTCATCTGACTGAAATTCTCATGTAACTCGGCTTGACATATTAATGAGTGCATAGACAAAGTTTTCGGGGCTTTGAACAAAGACACGAGAGCATCTATCACGTTGTAATCGCTAGGAAATCGTATAATCGATATTTCTCATTCCGAGGGAATGAAAAATAGTGAAGGTGCACTCGTAAAAATTTCTTCAAATTTCAGTTGAAAAGTTATTTGAATTTTCAATTAGTTTAACTTGAATTCCAATAAAAAATTTTTACGACATTTCTCATTTACCTTCAGAACTGGGTCATCATGATAAATAATTAAATTGTCAATAAATTGAAAATCGAGACAAATTATTTAATGACTTAATGACCTCAGAATTAAGAATTCCAAAAATCCCGACTAATTCCACAGAAATCTAATTTCTCTTCGTCGTTATTAGAAATTCGCGTTTTTCAAATGTAAATTTCAAGTGGAAAATTTCCCGAGTGTACATATTGTCAGAAATATGTCCCCAATAGTTAAGAACGAAAAAAAGAGGAATATAATGATCAGTGGGTAGAAGGAGGGCTGAGAAAATGGGAAAGGTAGATTCCTGACCTCAATAGCAAAATATCCGAGTGGGCAAGTCAATACTCCCATTGTACATTCCTTTGGATAATTATGAGTTTCTTCCAATGCATCATTGTCGCCATACCATAGATATTCCAGCGAATTCACGTCGTCGACAGTCCAAGAGTTGAATAGACCAGAGACTTGACCGGGTTTTCGAGATAATTGATTCAAGTAATTGATCCCTGGAGGGAGAGCTATTATTCACCTCCCACAACCGGAAGATATCTTCAATGTCCTCAGACACTCAAGCCCACTGTATTCATCCAGAAAGCCGGAGGTTACGTAACTGAACTTAAAGCTTCCAAAATCTATATACCTCTCAACTACTCCATGCACTATCATCGTGCACTGAAAACTGTACACGGTATGTAGCAACAATTCGCGTCATTCAACCGGTGATTAACGGCTCGACGTTAATTGCAAACTCAACTGGAGCTGAGGTGGATGAATTTTGAGATTGTGATCTTGCGTATGGAGAAAACTGTGGCGCAGATTAATATTGAGGTCATATTCATGAAGCTCGAAAGATGGATCAACTGAATGATAATTTCCCAGCTCAATTATTTTCCAAGACTTAATTATTCCAAGACTTAATTCCCTCACACATCATTTGCTTCTGTCGATGAGTTCTCATTGCCCTGCGCCTGGACTTCATCATCACTCAGGGGTTAATTTACGAAATTAAAAATTGATAGCTTCAATTAAACGAGGTCACTCCCTCAGTAATGAAGCATGCATCAGTGAATAGACAAATGGACAGGAAATATCGACTTTGATATGGCTGGTAATTCCTTCACTGATGCAATTGCCTCGCCCAGTCTTTCTCTGGTGCAGTAAAATCTCTCCATCAGTTTCAAATTCGTGCCCTGATGGTTTCGATATAATCCCCCTCCCAACGATTGATAGCATTCCTCCATTATCATCAGAAAATATTAATTAAAATCCAGTAGACGGTCAATTCGTTCTCCCCTTTAAAACGAATCTACCGATAATCACTATCTCATTTGATAGAATCGAGTGCGTGTCACGCAGACCGTAGTTCCTCCATCATCCCCACGATCAGAACCCACCAATTAACGACGATATTAATCGTAATAACGAGCCATTAAGCCACGCAGACACGTGAAATCCTCTCCCACTGGGACGTCAATGCCACGATCATCAAAATCCAAATTCATACAGTATTCAACTCCATAAATCTCATTCCATCGATGATTGCAATCAGGTATTAGCCTGTCCAATAAACTAATCCCCCCCGTACACCTGCGTAAAACTGTCATCATCGATTTATTAATACCGACCGAACAGAGAAGAGAAATTATCTTTTTGCCGGTGTCGAATGTACGTGACGCGTAGTTAATCGATGGAAAAAAAAATTGCAGACCCCTATCGAGTATCGAAAAGAGATCCGGTTTTAAGTTGTTTTTTCCATGTCGTCTTGCATTACTCATACACTGGTTCTCTGACCACACGGCTGGGAGACAAGTGCACCTGATAAAATTCTCCTTGTCCTCTGGTAATTTTCCGTCAATTTTCGAGTCCCTACCACCCAGAATCGTGGAAACCTCGTGTAACGTCGACGCCGAGGAGTCCAAATCATTATAATGATCAAGTAGTGAGGAACTTCACCGGAAGTTAAAATTAAATGACGTACTGGAGAGACGCAACGACCTGGCACCGACGTGTGATGAGACTTTTAATGAATCGACGATGAGGATTCTTCATCCCTCACTCTATTTTTTTTTCTCCTCCTAGCCAGGATGTCCACGTGTCGTTCTGAATGTGAATGCCGGACTTTTTTTTCTCGTGGCAGTTGCATTCGAGAAAGCACGAACCAATATATCCACAAAATGGGGTCACGAAATGCTATGATTGGAATCGTTACGAATGCTCAACACTTGGAGCTGATTGGCCAGTGATTTTTGAATGGGTTCGATGGCCTTCAGATTGTTTATCCTCAATTTCACTGAATTATTCAATTGCTATTTGATCCCCTGGGAAAATTCACCAACAGATAATTTAAATTTCTACTACTTGCTCAAACCATCAACTTCATTACCGGTAATCTGCTTTTCCGTGATGAATTAGAAGTCGAAAAATGCACAGCGGCGTCAGCAAAATTTATCCAAGAAAATCAGTGTCGCTGACTCATGCTCCTCCAAAGAAAGAGGGTCACATGAGTGAATAAAGAGATGTTTTTTCACCGCCTGGAAATGCTCTTCCATGGATCTTCTCAAGACTTTCCCCGCCCCACGTCCCCCACGACGCCAAGAAAAATACAAGTCAGGATAGAATGAAAAGCTGTCTTAATATTTTCCTCAGGCATTCACATTATTTCGCGGATATTTCAACCCGAGGGAAGTTCATTCCCATGGCTTCCTCATTGACACGATTATGAGGCAATTTTAAAGTGAATACGTTTAAACCCGTGAGCACAAAATCTGTAAATGCTCTTTCATTTTTATTTAATAAAGTTAAGCCATCAATACTGAGTTTTAAAAAAAGTCCATTCCATGAGATTAAAATCCTCAATATACCAGCAAATTGGTTCGACTCATTCCAGACCATCAACAATTTAACACTTTGACCTGTTAACGACAAGAAAATCGATTCTACATTTCCAGACGTCGCGACGACGCGTCTGAGAGCCAGTCCGAAGTCAAGGAACCCTGGATTTCTCCAAAAGGCGACAGAAAGAAAAAAAAAACATTGAACAACGTCCCAGCAATTCCACTGTTCTCTCCCCCTCGATTCACAATATTCTGGAGATGACTTCCATCAGCGGTAATGAGAAAAGAACGAGAGAAATCCGAGCGGATGTCAGATAAACGACTTCCCTTAGTGCAGGTGGAATGCTCTCGAGAATTTGCATGATTCTTTCGTTCTCCAATCGTCAATTCCATCCGAATGATTCCATCAATTCCGTAAAAATCCCACTATTTCATGAGTGTGTGACATATCCCGTTGACTCATAAAATGAATTGGGTCATTCCATAAAATCACTGAGAGCTATCAACACTCTATACCCTAACACATGAAAACTACAACCTGACACTTCCAAGCCTAATCAACTTACTTCACTCTCAACGACAAAACTCCATTACTTCCGGTTACATCGGTACATCAACGTGAGTGTAATTATCGATCTTCTGTCCATGGATACAGCACTATCGGTGGAATGTTATCGGCAGGTCTCGAGTGATTAAATCACTCTCAGAAATAATTGACCATTTATAAAAATTATTTTAAAAAAGTCATCAACAGAAGTGAAGAATATTTCCAGTTATCTTATAATTATCCCCAGAGTAGAGCTGACTGTAAATCAAAGTCTCTTTGAAGAAAACCACATCAGGTAGTGGGCGTGGCCTCCACTTGGATCAATATAAAGTTGAAGAAACCGATATTACGACTTTTGAAAAAGTTGAAAATGTCCTCACCACATTTTCCATTCAACCTTTTCACCACCGTCACAAGTTCTGCGAAAGTAGCGATAAGTTAAGTTGCACTTTCTGGAAGTGATGTAAGAGATCTCTCCTGAATGCTCTTGCCAAATTAAATTATTCTCATGTTATTCCTCCCACCATGTTCTCCCAAGAACGTGAGTGGTCGAGGGTGAAGTATCAAATTGTCAGATCTTCCCAGTGCAATTGTTGATGGGTAATTGAGGTTTTCGTACCGTTATTATTGGTCGATCGTTGTGCGCAAACTCGAATTAGATACAACAGATCGCCAATGCAATTTACAGGATGGCAAATGTTCTCACGTTCCTCTCAACATCCAGGTCGGCTAAAATTCCGATGAATTCTCTTCCCTTTTTCTATACCATCACTGGAATGAGAGCAATGAAAAGAGAGTGAGGATCTCGGGGAAGATGCCTGGAAGAGATGTTTTCTTTGACTTTATGAACTCGTTTTCAAAGTTTAATATCTGAACATCCCCGGGACTTTTACGAATTGGAATAAAAGAAGGGAACAATCCACAACTTTAAAACGTATGACCCTATGAATATCCCTCTTGAGTGTTTTACTCAAGAACGGAATTACAAAACATGCCGTAAAGGTTCTCGGGTCGACCCTTCAAATTTGTTTGCCTTTATGGAGTGCAAAGGATGCCACTACACTTGGCAGAGCATCAAAGTTTTAAATACCTCCAGGTGTCCAAATACAGTTTTATAGAAAGAGTAAAAAAATATTCTCCAACGTGGACCAGACAAAAAAAAACTACTATTTGCATTTGGTTTTCAGCATAAGCATGCCTGACTGCGGATTTTCCTGAATACTTATCGAGACATTCGTTATTTTTTTTTCTATCACTCTCGGAAAACTCCAGGTACACCGATAACTCAAGCACGTGATTGTTCGTCAGACTGATGATTTAATCAGCCACTAATACCCGCACCGCTCTTTCTCTGACGACTTCCGGCATCTGACATTCCAACCACTTAAAAAAAAATCCAATCCATCATCTCTAAACTGTAACTTTAATCCCTGAATGAAGAAATCGAGTCTCAAGGATTTAAAATCGAGGCAAATGGTAATATGTCAAAGGTCACGAGTGCAAGAAACGACAGAATCCCTGAATTGTTCATGAAGAAGATATTGATTTATCGATAAAACGTGAATAACGGGAAAAATCCAATATGGGATAACAAAAGGCTAAATTATACGTGCACAAGTCAAGTTTCTATTCTTTGATGCTCATGATATAATATTTCAGCACGATGCCATCCGACAGCATGGACGACATTGAGCTGAAGAACATTCAGCTGCAATTCCCTGCCCTGAGATATTTGACGAGAGACGATGGCTCCGTCAGAGAGGAGAGAATTGAGACAGATAAGGGTACAATACTGGTTGCTGTGCAGGGAAATCGTGCAAAACCTGCCATTCTCACTTATCACGATCTAGGCCTTAACTGTGAGTTGAAAAATCCCCTTTATCCTCTCAAAGAAAAACTTTTCACCGAGATACCGAGCTATCCTCTGAAATCCAATTCAACTTCTCGAGTTCCCTAATATTCACGAATCCAAAGTAGATAATTACATTTTCGTAATTATCTTTTTTGTAGATGACATTCAGACCTAACTGAAAGTTTGTAACAAAAAATTGCGTATCTCTCTTAGATCTCGCGATATTTATTGATGAATGATAAGAATAAATTTGATTTTCAGACATCTCGAGCTTCCAGGCGTTCTTCAACTACATCGACATGCGAGTACTCCTCGAAAATTTCTGCGTCTATCACGTTAATGCACCAGGTCAAGAGGAGGGTGCACCAATACTCCCCGAAGAGTGAGTTAACTAGCGTGTCATGAATTTTTATAACGGATAAAACCGCTGTGCAAGTACACACCGCTGGATCGATGAAGTTAATTAACAGGTCATTCGAAGTGGTTAACAGCGACACATATTACGCGCCCCCCACAATTTTCCAGAGCAAAGTAACGACAAGTCAGGCCTCAGGCATTAATTTGCCCTAATGAAAGACAATTTTAGTAACGGCCTTGGCCATGAGGCACATCCCTCACCGCTGCATTGCAGATTTGCATGATAAAATCGTGATAAACCAATAGTTTGAAGGAAAAAGAAAAAAAGAGAATAAAAAAAATCCACTAGGGTGTGTACTCGCGTGCCAAGATTGCTCTCAATAAATTTCCAACCGTAAACAACTCCACCCAGACACATTAATTCCGAACAATCAATATTACCCCAGCAAAATCCCATGCCTCCAATCCCCAACGTAAAATTAATTAATCGTAAATATTGGAATCCCATCAAATCCCCGAGAATGCGAATGTACGCATCAGCTGTAACAACAGCCGTGGGAAATTCCATTTCCCAGACTGACTGAATCCATTGCAGAATGAAAATTGATGAAATCGGAAGAAATACGAGTGAAGCAAATGAATTAAAAATTTTCAGTTACGTTTATCCGACGATGGACGAGCTTGCCGATCAACTACTATTCGTTCTCGGACATTACGGATTGAAAACGGTGATTGGTTTTGGAGTTGGCGCCGGTGCTAATATCCTGGCGAGATTTGCACTTGCTCATCCCGAAAAGGTCAATGCACTGTGTTTGATAAATTGCGTGTCCACGGTGGCTGGGTGGATCGAGTGGGGTTATCAGAAGCTCAATGTACGTCACCTGAGGTCCCAGGGTATGACACAGGGGGTTCTGGATTATCTCATGTGGCATCACTTTGGAAGGGTGAGTTCAAAGGATTTTAAGATATTCATCATCTCCGAAATTCACCCGCCACTTCTCGTTACAACGAGAATTGAAAAATTAATACCAAGCTACTTTAAATAATTCCAACGACAAATTCGATAATAGAAAAAGTCATAATTCAGTTTTAAGACTTTCATCATGCATTCCCTTTAACTCGAAGAGCGAAATTTAATTTTTTAAAATTTATCCCTGTAACTGACACTACTGTAATGCACTACACTTCATGACCCATTAAATTTACAACCCCAGAAATATTGTTACGTCATCACATACTGCAAAAGCTTTGCCACATTTTGATTCTCCAGGGTTGCATAACCACCGAGAAAATCAATACAGAGTACTGGAAAGTGCTTTCAACAAATGGTAACTCGCTTGATCTTATTTGATTTTCCAGGGTACAGAGGAGAGAAATCATGATCTCGTACAAGTATACACTAATTACTTCGAGCGCACAGTGAATCCAACGAATCTAGCTCCATTCATCGACAGTTATGTTAGACGCACTGATTTGAATATCACACGTGAATTGGATCCAACACGCAAAAAGGATGGCAGCACACTTGGTGTACCTGTGATAAATATAACTGGCTCTCTAAGCCCTCACGTTGACGATACTGTTACGTTAAATGGAAGACTCGATCCTACCAACAGTTCGTGGATGAAGGTATAAGGTTTTATTAATTAATCATATGACGAGAGGAAGGAAATATCCTTGGGCTTTTCATGGTGAGGATCACTATCTCATGTGTTCCTGAATCCTAATTGACTCGTTGGATAGAGCAATATGCTCATGAAATTGAAGAAAAGCTGTTCATGTTTTGATAGTCAACTTGAAACCCTCAGAGAATATTTTCCACGAGTTTTAATTGATGAAAAATTCAAATCCAAATGTAACCTCTGGCCTCTCACAGATTTATTATCACTGAATGAGAGAAAATGAATTTAATCCTGAAGAGATGTGATAATTTCAGACAGATTCAATTCACTGAATTTGTCAATTTAATCGATAATAATTCCGAGGACATTTCCTTGCGCTTATTGAAGAAATTAACGAGCAAGATTTTGTGAGAGCTATTTTTATACAATTAAAGATATCAGATTGCGGAATGGTCCTCGAGGAGCAGCCGGGAAAAGTAAGCGAGGCCTTCCGACTGTTTCTTCAGGGTGAAGGATATGGTAAGTGAGCGTCCGTCGTAATGCCACTCCCACTCGATATAATTCCATATCGCTACCGAACGATATTAATAACCGCCAAAGAGACTAATGAGTATAATTAGAGAAATACGAATGAAATAGAGGTCAACGTTTGCGAGAGCTTAGACAGCATTGGTGTATCTGCCGCGTGTCTAGCGACGCAGAAAGTAATCATAACCACGTGATTAATATTTTTTTCAATATTTTCTATGTAATAAATTTGTGCCCCGTCGACTGTCACGCGGCAGCCCATGTTCTCTAATTTGACAATTTTTTCTTTTAAGTAACTGAATTAACGAAAACGATAATGCATTTTAATTAGCATTAAGTTATTTTCACTTGCTGATCAATGAATTTTCGGTTGGCCAAGATGAATTTGTACTATGAACCATTGAAAATGGGCCTAAAAAGAATCTAGGGACACACGATACGCTCTAGTGTTAATTGAAGAGAGAAGAAATTATGAAGAAAAATAACTGTAATTACAGAGTTTATTAGCCCGTTATTCGCTGGCCTTGTTGCGAAATTTTTTCATGACTGAAAGAGAGAGCGTTTAAATATTTTATTCAGTGTTCTCAGCGTAATAACTGATACACGTGAAAAAATAAATATTAATAGTGCACATGGCAACGGTAGTTAAGGATTGAAATTGAATCAATACTGATTTTTCCCTAGGGTAAATTAAATTCTCATTCCATCATCAAGTGACATTTTATCAAAGTCGTGTCGGTAAATGAAATTTAAAAAAAAAAAACAAAGCAGATGAATAATTCAAATCGAATGATTTAGATAAATATTTGTTCTTGAGTTTTGCTTTTTTAGTCACAGAATACACACAATCCTGCACCTGACACCAAATGAGTATCAATACACGTTTAATAAGCATCCACCACTTAAACTGATAAAAAGGAATAATAATCCTCATGAACTGATTGATAACGAGATATCAAATCTGAATATTAACTTCAATTCTTATATTCAAATGCTTGTTAATTGTTATTTGACGCGCTCACCAGGCTTGCATCGATTTTATTTCTAATGTCTCTAGGATAGAAATAATGAGATAAAAATGAACGAAAACTTTGCTATTTCATCGCCCCATTGATGTGCTAGGATTACGATATTATTCACAATCTCGCAGTTCAATGTAACTGTTATTATTACCATCATTGTCATCACTATTACGATTAATCAATGATTAACCAGCTACTCATCGTCATTCTTATGATTGCTGTCATCACAACAGTGACACTAACCCTTCATTTTTCACCAATAAATTAATTACTGAATAACAAATCAATGGATTTACAATCACAGACAACTACACGTAATTACAATCGTATCTAAGCTCACTGTAATAATTTTATTCTCTGATTAATTGAGAGATAAAAAGAATTTATCAAAAATATAAATAAGAAAGAAATATTTGTTCATCGATTTGCGCCTTTATTTCCCACGCGTCTCGGATCGATCGAGTGGTATGTATGATTAAAGTAAAAAAAAAATGAAGAAAAAGCACATCAGAGCAGAATCTAAATTCACGTAGATTGCATTGTTATTTTTAGTTCCAGGCTTTATTAGCTGGAGAAAGCTTTCCTACATTATATTATTTTCAGTTACTTATTCTCGATTGTGAGACTTATCACACGTTCAAGTTCACTTTATGCATTAGATTTTCATTTACGAAAACATCAGCACCTTATTGTTTGTTTTGATGAACTCTTTCATTTAAAGTTATTCCTTTTTTTTTCTCTTTTTTTGCGTTTTAGTGGTGAGAAGCCCGCGGAAGCCCGCAATGACGCCAACAACACCCGAAGGTAATTGTAATTAGGAATTGAGGCCAGCAAAAATTAAGGGAGCCGAACAATCGCTGTTGGCCAATTATTTATTGGCCACTTCTAAATTTTAAGTAAGTCGGAAATTATAGTAATAATTCGGGACAGTAAGAATCTACTAACTATTCATCAAATCAAATCATTAAATTTAATTCTAATTGGGCTATAAGCCATGGCTTCATCATTTCATTAATATCATCATCAAATTTTACATCACTTGGTAATTGGTTTGAAAACTAATCGATCTTAACGTATGTTATGTAATTTTTTTTTGTACTTTTTATTACCGACTGAGCAATGAAAATCCACCCTTGGATTTCTGAATTACCGATTACCAACTGAGGATAAATAAAATAATAATAAAAATTCATGAATACCATAAAAAATTGTTAATTAATCCCGGGAAAAATTGTAATTTGTAGACCTGATTCTTCTCCTCACACATAGCAGCTCTCAAATTTGTGGTAGGAAATTTCTCGTTAAAAATTGTTTTTTGTTACAAAGTTAATACCAAAGAAAAAGCCAAAATCTTTCAACTTCTGCACAGCTTAGATTAGACCAGATACCGAATAACTTGTTGATCACAAATAATCAATAATAAAACCAAACAGAATATTAACGCACACTGAAAAAACACACACACGTTACTTTTCATTTTACTTTGCATGTGTGCTTGTTTTGTTTAAACTTTTTCAACTGAAAAATCAAAGTTATTCAATAAACCGACGTTAAAAATGTACTTGACCCCTTCGTATCACCTTTCATGAAAGAAAAATTTCTACGAAATTGAAACATGTGGTGGGAATTGAATTACAAGTAACGTAGTGTCAGCGATTTACCAATTAATTCACATGGAATATCAGAGTCTCATTTTGAATTCGTTTTTTTTTCTTCGATAAATTTTCAGTTGCACCACTATCACCCCTGAAAATGGCAGATTACAGACTGGCATCCCTCGAGGGTCTCAACCACATCTGCAGCAAGAAAATCGACTGGCCAACAGCCACAATTCACATAACCGAGAATCCCATATCAGAGGCGGTCGTATGTTAAACAGCCCCCGCAATATTAATATCATCAACTACCAATCGATTGCAACAAAACAAAAAAAATAATAATCCCGACCACAAATTCAAGTTCAGAACGTGTGAGAATACCAGTATCGCCCCAAAAATATCATTTTCTTGTTGAATTTATCTCGAAGTAATCAGACAAATATCAAATTTTATCTGTCGATTTTTTCTCGACGAAGTTTACCACCAGAAAAACAATTTTGTTATCTAGTTGACTAAATTGAGAATATATATTAGACATCAGGACTGACGAGCCCCGCGAATTATCGATACCAGTAACAATATCATACCACAAACTGCCGTCGCGAACAAAAAAAAATAATGAAATAATCGCAAGTCCTGGGCAGTTTTTTTTAAGCACAATCCGATTGTAATTAAGTTCCGGCCTATAGTTTATTATCGACTAAATTAGCGTGTAACCCAGCACGGGAGAGCTTCATATCCACCGGGTCAATAAATTATTGACCAGGAAATAATTATCATTAACTAATTAACGATTTGAACGAAAAAAAAAGAAGAAAAATGGGAGACTGCTCTTGATTCGTGCTTGTGCACCGTGCACCTCAAGAGCCCAGAGAATTTCCACTAATCCCAATGAGAATGGCGATAATTAGATAGGGATAAGTTGAATAAAATGGATGAACCACCTATGCATAAACAAAATGGTTTGGTAGGTTCCCATATGGTTTTGCCAGGTTGACCCCAAGCCTTTAGCGTGATACTATAAGACGTGCCTGCATCGAATTGTGAAGAAAAATTAGCTGAAGAGAAACAACTTAACGGCCTTTTAGTTTTCTATTAAATATTATCCCCCGGGGCGTTCCACGAATTATATTGTTTCTCGTTCGTCCTTCTAATTGTGCTGGCATGACTGCCTAATGAAGAATCACTATCCAACACGTTTCATCCAGAGAAGAAAAAAAACGAAGAACAAGAAGAAATGTAAAAACGGTGTAATGCGATATTTTAACAGAGTAAAATTTGCTGACGAGGCAGAAGGAATACCACACACCCACGAACGAATGAAAAAAAAATAACGACGGAGTGTTACTGAGGGACAGCTGATAGGTTATAGCTGAAATACTCGCTGCTAAAAAAACAATTAAACGTGTGAAAAAAAAAATATGCAAAAAGCTTTCCAGCGCAGTTGCGTAATTATTTAAATGAAGTACGCCATTGGACGCTGAGTGCCGGTTCTTAGCTGCCACATGAGCGGAAAAAACGTTCAAAATGGAACGAGAGTAATAAAAAAAAAAGCATAACAAATGACGAAAATTCATAGTCAGTAGCGATGTATCTTCGACTATGAGAACAAATGGGTCAACAATTTAATTGACGATTATAGATGGAGCTTTAGTGTATAATGAAGAAGTAAGTTAACGACACACATACGCACCGATATACATCTTGTTATTTATAATAAACGTATATAAAGAGTACTCGCATTCATTAATTACCTCACCACCTGTTCAAATTTTAAGTTCCTCGGAATATTTGGATTTAATGAGAGATTATCTAATCTGGCAAATTTACCAAAGTGGAGAGATCCTGGATCTGTTTGTGGGAATCGCAAGTCAGTGCACAATTGAGAATAAAAAGAGTGAAGAGATTTTGGGGGCGAAGGAATGGAGACATCTGTGAGGCTCATTGTGGGATTTAATCACATGTGGACGTATTTTTTTGACAAGTGAAATAAGATACGTCGAATTTACAATTAAATGTAATTATCGATTTATCTCGAGAACTGTAGCTTTGAGAAGGAAGTATTAGGGGACTTTTTTGTGGCTGATCAAATTTCCAACAAGAAAGTTCTTTTGACATTTCCGTCTAAAACCGATAGTTTCTTAGATAAATCGGTATTTTACAACCTGTAAAATTCGATTCATCTCGTTTCACCACATGTCTACTGATTTAAGAGGGAATCAATTTGAAAATTGAACAACAGCCATTAATCACTTCAAATGGAACGTGAAATCGATGAGTGATTGCAATTGAAGAAAAAAATTGCATCGATTTGAAACGCCGGAGGTTTCATGGCATGCATTTTCAATAATTCAAGGAATTCCTAGTCATTATAACATTGCAAGTTGCCCTGAGCTCGTGAAGTCCTGAAATCATCATTGACGGAAAAGTTGAGGATCTACTTGGCGCCAAGCAACCCCCACCGGGTTTTTTCCCTATCGATGGCTCTCTACATGCCTCCGACAACACCGGTTCGTACGCCTGTACCGAGGAAAACCAGTCCCCAGCCTCGAGGATAAAGAAAAGACGACGTTCCTCTCGTTTTTTCAAAGAATCCACTTCGTGGAATCCAAGTACGATCTACCCGCAACACCTAAAGGATACTCTACAGCCGAACAATAACAAAACACGATGAGCTCACCGAATTCCACATTCTCCACAAATCAAAACAGTATTATCGATTTTTCCCCCAACAGCCGAAAACCATCAAAACTGGCATCAAAACATTCACGAAAATGTAAAATAGGAATATATCTATGAATATAAAATGAAACAAAAATAATATAAAGCAAAAACTACTCACCATTTTGAAGAAAATCGTTGGATGCAATCCTCCAAGACCGATGCACATCACTTTATTGTCAATTTTCACCAATAAAAAAATAATAAACAATAACTCACTGTCTCGAATTACCGGAATTAACGAACTTTCAGAAAAAAATCGCGACAAAAAACCGTTGAGGGTCAAACCCTCGAGAATTCCCATTATTGTCCCTCAATTCTTCATTAATTTCTCCAAACTTCATTAAAAATTCTCAAGAATCGATCAAAACTTACTAAAAACCCTCAATTAAAAGTTATCCAGCCACTAATCAACACTGAAATTCACTAACAAACACTTTTCCGCGTCAAGCCGGTGGAGTCCGCCAAAAACTGTGGAAAACCCAAAATGGTGGCGGGCGATTGGCATTGGCGGGAAGACGACACGAGAAAAAAAAACAGTTTATGCACAGATTGTTATAAAAAACCGCAAGGAAGGCCATTTTTAATTCTAATTTACTTTTTCGCTGATGTTACGAAGGCGAATAACACAAAGGGGAATAAAGGTACGCACCTCACTGTGGAATGGGCACAAATACGAGTGCTCGGGCATGATCGGGAGTTGTCGTGCAGCGAGTCGCCACCTGTTGCTGGGGCGCGGAAACTCTTGAATCGCTGACGAGACGCGCCGTATTCGCCACTCGTCCAGCGTGGGAGTAACAACGCGCGTGTGCAACGCACACTTCCGTGAAAAAAAAAAAAATAGAAATAAAAAAACCCGGGAAAATCACCATAAACTAGAGAATAAACACAACAAACTCACTCCGACAATAGCGTTATGAAGACAAACAGTGGAAACGACGTGTGAAATAACTGACAAGTTGATAACTGACAGTTCAATAAGTGAAACGTTAACTTGTGATCGATATTATTTATGTAATTGATATTAGTGTGAATTAGGTTTATCGTGAGTGATATGCATTGTTTATTGTGGATGTAGGTGGTCTCAGGTGGAGACGAGATAAGAGATAATCATGGCTCCAGCAGCGGTGTTTTGGATTTTTCTCGTATTGCTGGAGTACTGGGGAGTCCAGGCTGATGTGATTGAGGAGAGAGGTGAGGATTTTTAGATACTTTCAAGGGTTTTACTGATTATTACGTGTCAAGAGTCTGAGATACTCGAGAATTAACCAGACGATTTGACCAATTTATTTAATTATTCCGCCAATAACTCGTGAGCTTTATTGTTGAACTCATTCTTCACTATTTTTGTTTAGATCGAATCGAATTTTCCGGTATTTTCCAACGCCAGTCTCACCGGTCCACGGATTATTCATCGGAAGAATTCAGTCAGCTCAATATTTTCGTAAATATCGATTTATCGAGGAGACTATCGATTTGATGTGGAAACGTTGAGGGACTTTTTTGTAGCTGATTAAATTTCGGTGAAAAAAGGGCTTTAGCGATTTCGTCGTAGAATCAATGGTTCAATTAATACATATCGATATTTACTGAATTGAGAGAATCGACTTATTTACCGTGTTTATCGCTTGATTATAAATATTCGTGTCAAGTGGATTTTGGGAATTGTTTCACCGATAAAAATTACGTGTATTTGAATATCAATGATCGCGATAATATCGATTGTTTATCGTCCGATATCCGTCGCGAAAAAACACTTGAGACACTGGTGATAACATCGGTCGCAGTTTCGAGATAAAATAACGGTTTATTTTCATGGAGTAATTTCTTGGGTTACTGTGGTGTCAGTAATGGTGATGTTTATATTTCAATGAGTGATGGAGACCTATGGGGACATTTATGGAGATTTTCAAGAATGTGATATTGATTTATGAACCTTAATGTTTAAAAAATTATTGTTTATGGCCGAGAACAAAGCCCCATGCATCGAGGCCACTTACTCCATATCCACGTCATTATTTTATTTATTTTAGTGGAGGTATGAACACGAGTACATTTTTTGGAGTGACTTTTGTGTTGGTACATACATAATTCTGGAGTACGACACACTGTTCATTATTTATCGCTCAAACCTCGGATTTTTTCAATAAAAAAATGGAAGAGAGCTCGCGTTATTCAAATGAAACCGCTCACTCTTCAACGTGGGTTAAATATATCTTGTTAACTAGTTAATTAGGGCTTTAATGAGATCAGCTCCTTGAGAGCCTCGAGTGAGAATTCAGAGCGAACTTGTCTCATACTCGGTAGATTGAAGGAGTTGAAACTGACGATAGTTTATTTTTTACCCGCAATTCTGTTCATTGTACAGTATCTTCGCCTGCTCCTCGCTACCATCGCTAGTTTTATTTTATAACTGTTGCGCCATGTCACGGGGTGAATTTAATTAAAATTCTTTGGGTGGGTAAGAAAAAATTTCGTTCTTTTTTTTTTTCACTTCTGCGGTCTGTTATGTTTCGTTGGAAATGGTTCATGAAGAAATATCTTTGTGTGCCTTTTCCCGAGCGGTTCTACTCCAACGAGGAAAGGCGCTGAGGAGTGGTGATCAGCCAACCATAAAGTAAAAGACAGAATATCTATAAACCTCGGGTTTAAGAAACCATTGGACTAGAGTTTTTCACTCCGGGTACTGGTCTAGTCCTCCATGGGGGACACCTTTGGGGAATATTGTAAAAATTTTATAGAAAAATTATTTTTTTATGGAAACTGACGTGATGCAGACGCTGTACCTTGGAGAATGCATTTTCTGGTATTTTTTTAGGATAAATTCAATATCAAAGGAATATTTGCCAACTCGCGGTTATTAATTCTCTTGTTGTCTTGGAATGAAGAATAATAGAAAGATAGTCTCTGGAATGCATGATACGTCACAAGAAGTAAACCGTGGCCGATGAGCGAGGTGAATGTATGGTCTCCGAGTCGTGATTGCTGTCGCGGATAGCTCAATTGCTCATACAATTCTAAAGTGCATTGGTGATAAGTCCCGACATCACCACTGTCTAATTCCCCACCGAAATTTCATAAATTTCCATCACTATCCAAACGCTAAAAGCTAAATTGTCAAGACCACCTGAATTATCCGAATTACCTGGCCCCCTGCTCACCTTATTACGGCGATATCTCAGGATCTAAGAGAGATACCAAAATTTACTCTAGTACCTCTTTCGTAGAGTTCCATGAAACCTACAAAAAAGGTAATTACAGATATTTCGGTATCTCTCTCCGGTTTCGAAATATTCTCTAGAAACTCGTGTTTCGGTGGAAATTAATTGTTATTTACCGCTCGGAGGCAGATAATGAAGAGAATAAAAATGTCACTTGCTTGAGGGGAACTTGATGCATCGGGGGGGCATGTTACCAGGAAATGATCTCGAATTGATGATTTGCGGACTGTAAGATGCGTCATCGGGAGTGGTTCAAGTGGTGTTGACCCGGCTGTTACAATTTCCTATTGACCGTCAGCCTTGGTGGGTTCTCGTGGGAACTTCATTAGAAATTGATCGATCATCTACAATTCTGGGGTAAAAAAAATGGTGGGAATCAATTACACTCATTAAATTTAATCGTCTGACTACAGTGGACAAACTGTTGTCGGCGAATCTCAGGTTCTCTTTCTAGGAGATTTCGTGCAGGCTTTATAAATACGAGGGGGAGATAAAGCTTAATTGTCCGGAGACACCCGAATTCGAGGAATAAAGATTTATTAGAATTTAAATAAATCAGTTCTTGAGGCCGACTTGACGGTATTATAGGTTTAATTTAAACACAGGTCATTCTTAGAGAAAAAAAATTATGGAGGCACTTGAGTTTCCACCGATTACTCTAGAAACCTCGAGGAAAAATTGTAAAAAAAATTTTGAGGCGGGTAAAAAATGAGGATGGACCCTTGGAATTTGTGAAATGTGGCAACCTGGGATCCCATCTCGGCCTTTTTCTGTTAAACCTTCTTTCAGATAGAGACTCCCTACCGAGAGACGATTCAGGGGATGCACCATTCATTCCCACTGACCATGCAATTTACCTGTTCATTCTTGACTCTCTCTTGAGAAAAAAATATATTCCTTCATCCACGAGAGGTAAAAATTTTTTCCTCACACGAAGTGGAACCTTCCCTAAAAATTATGAAAACACCAATTTCTTCGATTTTGTAATTTCCATCGAATGCATCGGTGCACCAAAAAATTCAGGTCATTGGACAATATTTCTGTCAATCTATATGAGTATCAAATGTTTTAATAAGATTGATCATTACCTCGGCGTCCGTTTCCGTTCAATAATCTCAGATACATCCAAAACCAGTTCTTTGATCCGTCTGATCTCCAACGGTGACGGAGTGAGGAAGTCCGTTCGACTTTGAGATACGTGAAATGAATGAAATATTTTCATTCATTGAGAAATTCATACAGATTAAACGTAACTGGAGGGACCAATAAAACGGAAGTTTGACACGCGTTGAGATGTTTGAGAGGCCGAAGTTCAAAGCCCCGGTGTCCGTAACCCTGCTTTCATGGTTGCCGATCTCAAAAGATTTGTTCCAACGGATGTTTCTCGTCTGGGATAAATTTTTATCGTCCATTGACACTGTTAATCTCACGGTGATATTCATCATCATGCACTGGGGTGATTTTTCATATCGCTACGTCGCATTCACACCTGAACAAATTTCTCTCCCAGGGTGTTTAAATATATCGAGCGATTTTTTCACTGGGCTCTTGATGATGGCTGATGAATTTTTCCTGACAAATGCTCATAAACTCGTCTGGCATCCAATATTACACAGTGACCTAACACTGTCTAACAATCCTATATATTTTCTCGGGTGCGAAGTCAGCGCAAGTGCGAGACGTTGGAGTTTAATTGAGGTTGATGAGGGGGGCGCGCGTATTGGCCCGGGATTCAATGCCGAGATGATGTTTCACCATCTCATCTGGAGAATTGTCTTGGCATGGATCATCCAGGGAAATCGATCCCAGCCCAATTATACCTCAAATTTTGACAATGAATTTTCACTGACCGCTAACTCCTGACGGTCTCTTGACAAGACTGCGTCAGTCGAGGTATAGAAGTCTCATAATTTGTTTAAAATTTTGCAATTTTGCCTCTCTGATACTTTTAAAGGCTTCATAGATCAATGATCATGAGCTTGATGAAGAACTTGAAGTACTCGAAAAGTGTAGATACTTCTGGATTGTCCTCCAGTTCTCCAGCATTCCTCAATCCCCTTTTACCCCCAGTGCACGGGCTATTCCATTGAGGGATAATAACCGTGCAGTTTCCCAGAGCGTCTTCAATGGACGAAGATTGCATGCTACGAGAGACCTTCAAGCTCTTCCCCTCTTCATTCCCTCACTCGTCTGAGGTTCTATCCTACATATACCTTTTTTCATCCAGTACCAACTCACCTCATCTCTCTCCACAGCTTGATCCTCGATATTCCCTCTTTGTCGAACGTGTCTGCCTCTTGAGAACCTGAAAACCACGTCCCACGAAGGGTACGTGGTACCAGGAGTCCACTTTTATTTATTTCGCTCCCTTCTTTCATTATTCCTTCTTTTTTTTTACCTCTTTCTTACCTCAAGGA